CCGAAGGCAGAGAGTTCAACCGATCAGCCGGTCAGCCGGTCGCTCGACTTCAGACTGAACACCCTGCTTCCTCTTGAGGCGCACTATTTATTACGTATGGTATAATCCATTATGTTATTATGGGTAAGGTCCCATAACACATAGCTACTTTGTCATGCCATGTATACTTTTGAAACGTTGTAATGAAAATTAGCATTTTCTGCAGATTTCAAAAATTTAATAAAATCAAATTTATCTTCCGTACCTTTCCTTCTACAATGCCTTCAAAATGACGGCAAACGCAAATCTTAAAAAGATGCTCTCAGAGCTTCTCACTATGTATGTTGGATAAAATAATCATTTATAACATATTAGATTATTAGATCTGATGTGCTTAACCGACTCGGCCACGTAGGACTTCCGGTTAAACAAAGCTCAAAATAGTGCTTTTGAACTCACATTCTCTGTCGATTCTCGAAACTAACTACAAAAATATTCGATTTATAAATAAAGAATCATACTTCGCGGAAATTCACTTCTAGCGGTAGGCTCTGGAATTGATTAACCGCAATAAAACGAGGGAGAACTGTAATCACCAAAATTACAATAACATAGTTTCAACCTTTTCTTTTCTTTTCTTAAATGTTAATAACAATGTTTCTAACAATAAAACGTATTAAAAGATAATCCCAATACAAAAAGAAACATCAGATATTGGAAAATGTACAAAAGCCATACTTTTGTAAATGGTATCGTTCAAGTACATTAAAGAATAAACATATTGATCTCGCTGAAGATTAATCATTTTAATAATGATGCGCACTTAATGTAATTCGAAAGCAAAGAGCAGAGTTCGAATTCTAGTCGTGTTTGCTACACTCGCTTACGCGCAAATACCCTTGGGAAAGGTTGGAATTCTTCTATTCTACCCCCCGTTATGGATTAAATAGCATAGAAGACTAGGATCTGTAGCCATAGTTAAGAGAAGGAAAACTCTGATTTCAAAACCATAGCGACCAAATTATGGATTGGACTTTGGTAACAGATAGCACCCCGACAGCATGACGGTGGAGATATCAGCAACAAGATGTTAGATCTGGTTAGTAGCAGAATCTAACGAACCAGATTTCTGCTATTCAACTTCAATGGTTTAAAATTCTTCATGCTAGAAAATCGATGTTAATTATTCCGAGTCAGTTGGAAACTACTTCTGTTGAAGGAAAAAATATTAAATAAAATTTCAGGGTTTATGGGAAGACGTTAGAAGTATAGTGAATGAGGTAAGCTTAACAAAGGAACCGAAAAACCAATTTTAAATAAGAAACAAGGGATAAACCCCTGTTCCTGTTCAAAAGACCGGGGAGGGGAGTAAACCAGGCGGTAGGCGAACCTGTCTAGTCCTATAGAGGAGAAAAAATAATCATTAAATGTAAATTTCAGCGTTGAAGCAGAAAGTTGAAGTAGACTTTAGAAGGAACCGAAAACCCAATCCTAAACAGGAAACAAGGCAAAAACCTTTACCCCTGTGCAAAAACAGGAGAGGATGAGTGAACCGGGCGACAGGTGAACCTGTCTAATTCTAATAGTTTAATAGATAATAATTATAATGTTATCTAAATATAAATAAAACCTTACTTTTATCATCATCATCCTCAGTCCCTTGACTACTTTAATCGTCGCGGGGGAGATAAGGGTAGAAGAAACAGAAAATCACCTCCAGGATGATCTGGCTCGCAGGAGTTCTGGTATTGTCATGTCAGTCCAATTTTTGATGCTGTCTGACCAGCTTTTGCGGTGATATCAAGCTATTATACCATGTGACGTGACTAAACCATGCCATCTTCCAACGCTTATTAGTGGCCAGGAGAGATTTCTGTCGGAAAACGATTCTTTTGACCTTACTCTGTAAATAGACATTGGTTTTGCGCTCCCAGTATGAAATGCGGAGGAGCTTTCTCAAGCACGTCTTCAAAGTCTCACACCCGTAGAGGAGGATGGACATGATGTTGTCGGACCATCTCTTGCGTTGCCGTCCTCGCTTGCGCCCGCCTTCAATAGGGTCTTGCACGATGGGCTTGCAGAAGCCGTCGTGTAAGAGTGTCAAACCATTCCATCTTTCAACGCTTAATAGTGCGTTTCAAGTATTTGTTCTCCAATGCCTGAATCAGTTTCCCTGCCTCAACCAGAAGACAATTGTTTTTTATATCAGAATATTTTTTTTATATCGGAATAAAATTGCGTATTTTATTTTACTTGAAGAAATCGGAAGCAATTTATTCATTCCCTTTGAAATTTAAATCAATTGATATAGTTTTACGATATCCATTTTGACTTCAAATACTTTTGTTATCTTTCTACAGACCAAAAACTTTTGTTATCTTTCTACAGACCAAAAACACGAGATTAAATCTTCAACTCCGAACTTAATATCGGCGAGTTGGTATGTGACTACGGGTTTTTCTAACCATGGTGCTTCTTCTCGCTCGGGTGCAAGAGTGACCCTCCTCTCTTTCTTCCCAGTTAGATATATAAGCACCCTCCCGAAAGAGGAGCAGAAGAGTAAGGTCTCGTGCATTCTCGCGAGAAGAAACATCCACGTGAGGAGCAAAACCGAATGCTAATCACCGATATTAAGTTCGGAGGTATAGGAAAAATAATTTTACGTAAAGCGGCGATAGAGGAGTAATCTGAAAAAATTTTTGGAATAATAAAATTAATTTTATGACTATTTCGTGAATTTGTTATCATATTAATTGTGAGGGGGGATTAGTACTAAAACAAACAAAAAAATATAGAACAAAGCGAGTTATCCCTAGGCATGGATAGCGGAAAGAGATGAGAAAATTTTTGTGGTATTGCCTTTGCTCGCAACAGTAGCATTCAGATGTTTCCTCTTAGGCGGTCGAGAAAAAAAAACGAATAAAGTTATTCTCTCTCGGAGGAACAAGACGGTGATCAAATTGCTTCGCAATTTCTTTTAAAGCCAATCTGAAAACAAATGTCTCTCGAATCTGAGAAAGTCAAACCTGGACAGGAGCCAATTCAAACGGATTATAAATCTTAGACATAGAAGACATTGACAAAAAACACACCCCAAACTTTCCTTTTTATCCTGTATATTCATTATCAGCAAGGTTATCAGTCACAACCCGGACCAAATGGTATTAGAAACATTCTACATATGTATATTAAAACTAGTTTTATTTACATTATATTAATTTAGAGACACCTCTAAGTGGTGAATGGTTATCAAGTTTGTCTCGCTAGATCAATTACGACTGAATAGTGAGTTCAATCCTCACTGGCTGTCCCATAATTTCCGTCATGTGCCATTTCTAAGAGTGCATATTTTTCTTGAATAAAAATTTTCTCGATTATTCACACCATTAGACGAAAATAAATAAATATCAGTCATTTATGTTCCATGCGGGATACACGCTGAGACGATCGTGTATCTTTCGATACTTGACTGACGAGGCAGATTTTTCCCGCAGTATGTTGCCATTACTTTCAGCGGTAGACCAGTTGCTATCCAAGGCTATAGAACCCGGTCTGTCCTGCTATTTACCCATAGCTGGCGGGAGAAGAAGAGGATTTATACCTTTCCCAAGAGCGTAAGTGAATCTAACAGATTCGACTGATATTCGAACTCGGCTCACCGATTCCTCAATCCAAATCGCTATCCATTACTCTTCCCTAAATATACTGCTTAATAAATAAATATGAATACGAGACTTTTAAGGCATGGAGCCTCCTTAAGAGAACACCCATCCATCATGTCAGGCTAAAGTTCTGGGTCTGCTCAGTGGTGTATTAAATGAAGTATATATTAAATACATTACCACTGTAGACACAAACAGGCGGATATACGAGATGTCCAAATTTTATGGCGGCTGATGGAATGTTAAACAATGTCATTAAAAATAGATGAAAGCAAGCAAAAGATGAATGTATCAACGAAAAATGGGTAGTGATATAAAAACTACAAAACACAAATATTGCCGCCATGCAAAAAAGGATGAAGAAAATAGAACAAAATATTCTTACTCCGTGATGTAATGGTCAACAAATTGGGCTTGAAGATGTGAATTCAAAATATGTGTGCTGACATTTTACCACACAAAATGTTGTCAATAACTTAGAACTTAGTAAATTGGACTCCAAGATATTTACTACTGAATTGTGAGTGCGCCATACGTCTAACCTTGTGCCAGACTAAGTTTTGAGAATAACTTAGTACCTTGATGTAAATGGTTAACAAATTGAGCTCAAAACTCATTACTAACGATTAGTGAGTTCTTTCCTCACTAGGTGCTCTTTTTTCATGGCCTCACACCCGACTATCCTATGAGTCGTGATCGATTATATTTTTTAATCATTAGGGGTAATTTCTTCAAAATAAAATCCAAGAAAATAAGAATTCCGTTACATACAAATTAAACCCAATTTTCGTTCAGTTTTCCCACTACCCTGCTGTATCTTTTATTTTATTTATTTTTATTTTTTATTTATTTATTTTTATTTTTTTTGAATGAATGATTCCGAGAAAATGTCCTTGGTGTAGGCATTTGTACGTTTTAGTATTTCTCTTTATATTTCCAAAGCCGTTATGACGCGAAGATAACTGCATCGAAAATGGCGCAGTACAAATCATTGATGGCGTTTGGTAATAACTGCCTCTTATTGATAAATGACTTATCAATACTCGCTGGGCTGTGTAAAAACTGTCTTTTCACACATAAATAAGTAAAAGGCATAATATATACACACATAAGATGTACACCTTTGCAACCTCAGAGCGAGCAGTTGAATATGAACATGGCATGGAAACACATTTATAGCTCGATTTTCAGTTTTACGTCTGAAAGTTTTCTACACATCCATCTTATAAACGAACAATATATTTGCTTATGATTTTTCACGTCAAAGTTTCTGGTTATTGTTGCTAAGGAATGAGTAAAAATAATTGCCCGAACACATCCAGTGTCTGCTGAAGTAAGCTCACTTGGACTTACGCCCATACGTTCTCGTAGGATTACCGACATTAAGCAACATCGAGCCTGATCAGTACTTAGATGGGTGACCTTTTGGAAATACCAGGTGCTGTAATCTTGGGTGTGCGGGTGGTGTAATGGATAATGACTCGGAATCGTTAATCGGAGAGCCGAGTTCTAATTCCAGTTGGGTTCGTTATATTCATTTCCGCGTAAATACCGTTGGGAAAATATGAAACCACCTCTTCTCCCCCAGCTATGGGTTAATTAGTAATTCATGTAGCACTAGATCATTATTATCTAAAAAAAAATTATTAAACTCTAAAAATATTTTCTGGCTTTAAATAACCTGCAAAGGGGTTAATAAACCCTAAAAATCTAATCAAACGTTAGCTCATTTGGATTTCCATAGTATATTTTACTCTTTTCATGATGGCGTGGTAAAATGGTCATTGCAAACACGCATAATCATTAATTTATTTTTTTCTTATATTAATACAGATTATGCACCCAAAAATCTCCAATCTATCAAATTGTGAAATGAAAGTTGTCTTGAACGGCCACTCATCTAGATCCTTTCGTATTAATACGGGTGTCCTTTCAGGTCTACATACTTTTTAGTTTTCATTAATGACCTTCCCGATGACAACAGCTCTCAACTTTGTATCTACCCGGATGGCACAAACATTCATTCCTGTCTCAATAGCAAGCCTGATCAGTTCAGTAAGCAAATAATGTCCAAAACGTCATTCAGTCAGTTGTTAACTGGGGCAAATCATGGCTTGTTAAAAAATATCTACACTGACAACACAACAATTTACTCCTGTCTCGATAGTAAGTCTGATCAGTTTGATAAGGTCAAAATGACAGCCAATGACCAAAACGAACTTCAGTCTATTGTTAACTGGAGCAAAAGATGGCTTGTTAATTTTAATTTCAAAAGTAAACATTTCTTCATTAATCATCTGACAGACCCTTCTCTGCTTTTCATGAGCATGGCTGATGCTAACCTCCGGGAAAGTAGTTCGTTGCGCTTTCTTGGGCTAACTTTCTCCTATCATATCTATGTCTACCATTCATCCATGCTTAGAATATTACTTCCACATATGGCCCGGTGCTCCTGTTATTTATCTAGAGCTCCTTGATAAAACCCAAAGAATTATCAATATTATTGGTCCTGACCTGGCATCTCGTCTTCAGTCTTTTTCCCACCGCCGTAACGTTGCCTCCCTGTGTCTTTTCTATAAATACTTTCATGGTAATTGTTCTGATGAGCTCGTAGCTATATAACCTATAGTTTTTAATATAACAGAAGTACTAGTTCTCATCTACATACAGTTAAGCGGGCTAGATGTAATCGTAAATTCTATGTTAACAGTTTCTTTTCTCGCACTTCTTGCTTGCAGAACTCCCTTCCGACTCCATGTTTTCTAGCCAACTTTAATCTTCAAAAATTTAAATGTCAAGTGTCAATCACTGTCCTCCTGATTATTCTTCCGTTGTTCTCACTTCTTAGTAATGTTTCTCTTTCTACTTCTTCCACACCCAGTAACCCCTTTTGTCTTAGTGGCTTTACTGTCTTGCATGGGGCGAATAAAAAATAAAAATAAATTTCATAAGTTACGAATTTACTGTATTTAAACGTCAGTCTAACCGAACGCTCCTCTGTGGCCAAATCGGTAAAGGCACATCAAGCTAAATGACGGTTCCGTATAGGATACAGGTTCGAATCCTGTCGGAGGACGAATATTTTCTGTGAAAGTTTCTCGGACATTCAGGCCGTTAAATGTTGTTTAATACTGTTTATTATAAACAGAGCATTTACTTAAATATTTGTATCTATAAAAGAATGTATAAATAAATTGTAATTAAAATAATTGTCGGACTTTGTCCATTTCATAATGTGTGACATAAATATATATATATATATATATATATATATATATATATATATATATATATATATAGTGCTGTGCCAAAGTATCCCCTAAGGTAATATTTAAAAACTGTCTCTTTTTCCCAGATGATCAACAAATCTTAATTAAACTATATATCCAATAAGAAAAACTTTTATTAAATGGATTGCAACCACTTTCAAACATTTTTATCAAACTGGAATAAAAATATCAATTAAAAATTAAGATGTCCAAAAGTAAATGAACTCTGACATTTAATATTTGGTGACTGCTTCTTTGAGGTTACAATGTCAACCAGTTTTTTCTATACTTTTTAAGAAGTTTCTGGCAGTAGTGAGTGCTAATTTTTTACCCTTAATCTTGTCAAAACTCCCACAATTGCTACACTTTACCTGGGTTTCTTGCATGCACTACCTTCTTTCACCTGAATCACAGATTTTCAATTGGGCTTAGATCAGGACTTTGACTAAGCCGTTCCATGATTTGAAATTTCTTTTTACAAATCCATTCTTTTGTGGATTTGCTTTGATGCTTCAGATCATTGTCCTGTTGGAAGTTCCAATCCTGACCTAAACCCAACTTTTGAACTGAGGACAAGACACTTTCGTTCAAAATTGCTTGGTATCTTGCAGAGTTCATTGTGCCGTCAATGCATAATATTTTGCCGGTTCCAGCTGCAGCAAAGCAACCCCAAATCATAATACTGTCACCACCATGTTTCAAGGTCGTTATTAAATTCTTCACTTCAAAATCCGTATTAGGAACTCGACAGATATCCCAACTATTGATCCTTTTTTTTTATCCGTTTTGTCTCATCTGACCATAAAACCTGTCAGAATGTTTCTAGCTTATTTACATGAGCTTTGGTATAGTTGAGACGGGCCCTGTAGATGTATGCAAATTGATTCCAACATTGGCCAGTAAGAATTGGAGAACTGCAAAAGTCACATCAGGGTTTGTCTGGGCTTGACGAAATAGATGCCTACTTGCTCTTGCAGTTATTTTTCGCAGATGGCCACTTCTTGATTGTGACGCTGTCATACCAAAGGCCTTCCATTTATAAATAATTTGACGTAGAGTGGAGAATTGCACTCTAAATCGTTTTGGTAGCTTTTTGTAGCCTTTTTCGTCATTATAGGCGTCAACTATGTGGGTTTTTAAGCTTCAAGAAGTTATTTTGATCTTTGCATATATATTTTATTAAATTTAGTCTTTAACACCACACTTTGCATACACAATGAGTTATATTATTTGACTGCAGTACATACAGCTTACCCCAAAAAATGAACGCGTGTCATTTTCATTTTGCATGTGCACAAAATATTATTTGCACTGGCAACCATGTAAAACAAAATCACAAATGTAAGGGTTCATTTACTTTTACAGTTTAATTTTAAAATTTTTATTTCAGCTTGATAAAAATCTTTGAAAATGGTTGTAATTCATTTAATAAAGATTTTATCTTAGGGGTTTACTTACTTTTGCACAGCACTTTATATATATATATATATATATATATATATATATATATATATATATATATATATTGGATTGATGTGAGTTTGTGACCCTGGGTTTCACGCTATTTGCGATCGTCTGACAAACTGATTAATTTTTAAATTTTCGATTCATATATGGTTGCGTATATAGATGTTTTTATGGAAGTGGGAGAAAAAAATTATCGTCGGGACGCAACTCATACGTACGCAAACATACATACACGCACATACACTCATTGAAGTACGCAGACACACACACACACGCATGCTCACTCACCGGAGCTCACACAAGCATAAACATATGTGAACAGTGTTGGATTGAGCATATATGCTCATATATGTATGGTTGTATTCAATGTTGGATTGTGTAGCAAATATTTCCTTGCCTGTTGCGCTGTCAACGTGCAGAGCGTTTTTCTATTTTTGTTCGCTGAATAATATTTACTCGCCCGCACGCATATACATATGATGGGGTTGGTGTAAGACTATGATAGGTAAAAATTGCTATTATTTTAAATTTTTTAAAGCTGTTTTGTTATTATTTTAAAGCCGGTTATTTGCTTGTTTTGGGCGATTGCGCATATGTAAATGGTAGAAATTCCAATTTGTAATACTTATTAGTATTTATGAGGTGGTATTAATTTTTCTGGGGGAGGGAGAAGTAAGTATAATTGAAACAGAACAATATAATAAGCACAGACAGGGTCACAAACTCACATGAATCCAACTAAATATGTTAGCTCTCTAACTGATATTGAGCGCGTATATATAATATATAAATAATAGGTATAAAAAATTACATATATATATATTTATATACGTACACATTTCACACACACACACACACACACATATATATATATTGCATGGAAAGATTACTTAACTTTAACGCTCTATTTTTAATAATTTATTTATTTAATATTATTTTAATATTGAGCACTATATATGAATTATCTGATATTTCTTAAATCTTAAATCTCATATATATATATATATATATATATATATATATATATATATATATATATATATATATATATAGAATATATTCGTTGATAATTGATAGGGATAAATCCAAAGAGAGATCGATGTAAGAAACAACCAATATAAGTATAAACAAATCCATTCGGTTATAATTTATTTCATGAATATATGCAAATATTCATCTCTTCAGATAAATTTGTCCAGACAAAAAGAAGAGAAGGAGAAAACAAAAAAGGAAAGAGAAAAATATTATATTAAATGAGGCGGGAAAAAAAAAGAAAAAATTCAATATAATGTTTAAAAAAATGGGGAGAGAGAAGTGAGGGAGCGAAGGGAAGGAGATAGTGAGAGAGGGAAGGAAAGAAAAATGGAAACAAGGAAGAATCAAACATGAGTCGAAAGTTATTCTTCTTTCCTTTATATATATATATATATATATATATATATATATATATGTGTGTGTGTGTGTGTGTATTCGCGATCTGAAATGCGTGATACACAGTGATTAGGGGAAAAAATGATTATTTCTGCTTAAAGTGCCTATTGTACAACCCCACCCATTTTTAAATGAAACCATCTTTTTTCCGTTCATTAAATTTGTTTATTGGTTGGGCCTAAGTTCACTGTAGACTTTCCATCGTGATGGATTGGCTTTTATATATCAGTTTTCTAGCGGGACGGGATTAGTTATATGTACAACTCATGTTGTTATATGTC